ATCCTGCTGGTGCCCCAGGCACACCTACACTCCTGGTTCAGGACCCTGAGCTACAATGGTGTGGGGGGCAAGCCCAGCCTGCCCCATAACCTCCACCACCACCTGGAGGGCTACCTGTTGCAATGCTACACATCCCTTCCCCCCCGGGCGGCTGAGGAGGAGATCGCCTCCAGGATCAATGCCTTCCTCAGTGCATGAGAGGCCCGTGTCTCCCCAGCCATGAGGACACAGGCTGCTCATGCTTAATAAAGGTCTGACATGTATCCCACCTCTCTGCATGCTGTAGGGTGGAAGCTGGGGCCAGGGGAGTGTGGGCAGACCAGGCAAGGAGCGGGGGCTGGTGCCAGGGCTGGGGCAGGGCCAGGGGTGGGGACTGGGGCTGGGAGGGCCCACCCTCCACCCCCAGTTCAGGACTTACCACAGGGCCGGGGCTGGTGAGGCTGGATGCTCAGCGTGGGTCTCCCTGTTGTGGATGGCATCCAGATCCACCTGGTCTCCATGACCCATGGTGTGTGGTGGGCTGCTGCTTAGCCAGGGGCCCCCTGGGGAGGAACTGGTGCTGCTGCTGGCTGGCGGTGGTGTGGCAAGCCGCTCCACATGGGTGGCTGTGGGGCAGGGCTAAGGCCAAGGCAGCTGCTGGCCAGGGCTCCCCAGGCTGCCAGTGGGTGCAGCAGCCAGGGAAGAGTGCAGGGCAGGGCATTGAGGGACTGAAGTCCCCTCCTCCAGTAATGTGTCACCAGAGGTGTCAGGGTGGGGCATGGGCACGGGATCCCTGGGCAACAAAATGTGGGTCAGCTCCAACATGAAGGGCATGATCCTGGGGGCCCCACCAAACCAATGATTGTGGTCGGTCACAGGCACCCACCGTGCCCGCAGGTCCTTGACCTTCATGAAGCACTGCCACGCTGACCAGGAGTGGCCCTGTGCATACATCCCAACTGCTAGGACCTTATAAATGTGGGAGTTCGAGTGCCTGCCCTACGTGACCTGCTTTAGGACTTCCTCCCTGCCTGACAGTGCCACAAGGTCATACATCTCCTCCCAGGTCCAGTTTAGGCCCCTGGGGCTCCAGATGGATGAGCACACATGGATGGGGCTCAGGCTGGACATGGGGTAGGAGGAGGACATCATGCCCTGTGCCAACTGACTGGGCCCCCTGCTCAGCTGGCCCTGTGATGCCGGCCCCGGAGGGCTGGGAGCAGCAGCCCCGACAGTGATATGGCCAGGGAGTCTCAGCCACGTGGTTGAGGCACTTCACCACAATCCTGCAAAGAGAGAGAGGTGGGGGGGAGCACCAGTGGGGAGCAGGTGCTGGCCCTGGTGGCACAGCCAGCAGGGCCAGCAGCCCTAGGGGGATCACAGGGCTGGGCAAAAGATACAGCTAGCTGCAGTCCTTGGCAGCACTCACCTGTGGCTGGAGATCAGCTCAGGACAGCCCAGGCAGACCCAGCCAATGGGTTGTCTGGGGGGTACATGGGGCCTGCTGGGGTACTGTAGTCACAAGCAGCTCCTGCCAGCTCCCTGGAGTGTGTGCCCCCAGGCCAGCCCTTGGTGGGGCTCCAGCTGGCCCCCTAGTGGCTAGGCAGACCCAGCAGAGAGGCCCCTGGCTTACTGCACAGCAATGTGTGTACACATGTTACTGCACAGTAACTAATTGGGTGTAAGTTTGATGCACATACCAGAATTGATGCATAATGTAGGTATCAAATTTACACTCAAGTCAGCATGTCGCCATATTTACCGTGTAGTACAGGTGTGCACATGTAGATGCATTCTTGTGCTGCACAGTAATTTCAGAGATTTGGTATAGACATGCCCACATGTAATTAAAGACAGACTTCTAGTTTATAATTCCTAAACAAAATATACATCATACTTTTTCTGTCAGACAAGCAGAATATATCTAAAAAGCACATTAAGGTTGATTGTAGGAGTTTAAATCTAGGCATTACCTAAAAATAAATCTTTGAATATTTAAAAGTTTTTGTTTATTCAGATGCCACCATTTTACTTGATTCTTTCAACACTTTACAATTCTGTCAAGCAACTGTTTGTTTCTGTTAACATTACAATATAACAAGCAACTCAAAAGTAAAACAAAATTAGTGAAAAATTAAAGAAGCTCACTTATCAGAAAGAAAAAATAAGGCTAAAATGAGATATAGAGAGGCATGTCTACAAATGCATTTGGTCTAAGTTTACTTGCAAGTAAATCCTTCCGGGCAGGCATCTATACATACAGGGACATGAGAATAGATTTGCTGCTCCTAGCAGCAAACTGCTCCCACTTTCTGTAGCCCTACAATGGGCCCCTGTCATCACCTGAGGAAGGTCAAGTTTCCCCCTGGATGCTAGCCCAGAGGCTGGCAGGGAGCACCAGGCCAGGAGACAGCTGTCTCCTATCCAGAGCTAGGAAATTGCTTTCTGCCCCTAGGGGCCTGCTTGCTGCCTGGGTAGAGAAAATGTCCCCCTGCCCTGGCAGCAGGGAGCTCCCAGCCCCAGCTCCCTGATTGTGGCAGAGGACTTGGAAAGAGCTGCAGAGGAGGGGCAGGTCCCAGCCCCCTGCTTTGATTCACCGATGGGGCAGCTAGCAGTGAGCCCCCAGCTGGGTGGGGATTTCAGAGCAGGGACTTGGAGCTTCCTGCTGCCAGGGCAGGGGGACATAGTCCCCGCCCAGGCTCCAGTGGCAGAGCCCACCCAAGCAGCAGGCAGCTCCTTGGGGCAGGGAATAATCTCCTACCTCTTGGTGGCCAACTGACCTGGAGCAGATTTGCTCCCCATCAGGCATCTACAGCATGCACATGCTACTGCCCAGTAACTACTTGTAAGTAAATTTGCTACTTGTGAGTAAATTTGCTACTTACATTTGCAGGTCGCAAATTTACTTGTGATTAGCAAGGTTTACTGCGCAGTAAGCATATGCATGTATAGATGCACATGCTTACTGCACAATTAACTATGCTACTTCTCAGTAAAGCATCTTGTGTAAATGTGCACATGCAGTATAAGGACAAATGTCAATGTAAACCATATTTTAGGTTGCATTATGTACAGCAGTTGAAGTTAAGAGTTAAATCATATTGCTTTATGGGAAATATATTCTATCTTCCCCATAAGTTTTGGTACATAATATTAGAAGAAGGAATTTTGTTTGAAATGGTTAAGGAAATTTGTTAACGGGTTTTTGAGTCTCAATAAGTGTCACAGTATGACCTAGACATGGGAGACCAGAGCCAAGGGGAGTGGGAGAGCTAAGGGTCACAATTCTGGGTATTAGTCAGAGCCTAAGGTTCATGCCAGAAATTAAAATATGTTTGTGGTTGAAGCAGGCTGTTAGCTGAGCCAGGAGGAGCCTTGTTCCTGCTGCCAGGGCAGGGGGACATAGTCCCCGCCCAGGCTCCAGTGGCAGAGCCACTGCAGCAGGCAGCTCCTTGGGGCAGGGAATAACCTCCTACCTCTTGGTGGCCAACTGACCTGGAGCAGATTTGCTCCCCATCAGGCATCTACAAGGCAGGAACAAGGCTTGAAAATGCTGTTCAAGGGACCAGGGAAGTGGGAGAGTTTCTCCAGATAACTTCATTCCCCATTGGGAACCTCATGAGAGGGCCCAGGCTGAGCTAGAGCTGGCATTTGGCCAGCTTCTGGGTGGTGCTGCAAGCCAGGCCTCTCGGGGGCAAGGAGATGGAGATCAGATGAGAATTCTGGGAAGGAAGATTAAGAGTGGCTGGGATCCCACATTGCAGAAGTAGGACTGCAGCAGTAGGCTAAGCAGTGAGACTATAAATGTGATGAGAAATCTGAGAAGTAGATTCTGTGACCGATTGGATAAAGAGAATGGGACTAGGATAAGTAGCAAAGACAGGAACAGGATAAGGATCATCTGGAGGGAAAGGAGCAGAAGAGGGCAAGTTTGGTGAGAATAGGCATAAGAATCAGCACACTTCCCTGGATGTCTGTATTGTAAAGTAAATAATCCCAATATCTCCAATCTCTCTATATGAAAGTTTCTCAAGGCCTTTAGTCATTTTCATTACCCTTCCCTGAATCCTCTACAGTTCTGCAATAGCCTTTTAAAGATAAGGTGACAAGAACTGTACATAATATTCCAGATGAGGCCGTGCTATTTATTAATATTATTTAAATAATTAGTATTGTATAATTGTATATTGTAATGCGTTTTATCATTCCTTATGGATTCTAATATTTTCTTTGCCTTCTGAGCACAGCTGCATACTCAGAGCTGTCTACAATGACATCCAGGTTCCCCTTAATTCGGAATCCGTAGAGTGTAAGAGTAATTTAAAATTTTCCCTCCATGTACAACTTATTTGCTTTATGTGCCAGCACCATTGTTCTATTTTGTTCAGGTGAAGCCAAATCCCTCAATATCAGCTCCTCAACAGGTTCTCCAATGTCTAATAGTTATAAATAGTTTATAGTTATAAACCCCTCTCCTTTTCATCATCTTTCAATTATGCATTGTAAACCCTGAAATATCTCCTGTCCAGCACAGTATTGATTACATTTTAGAGAAAGCTACTACTGAATCCCTAAAACTATTCCTTCTACCTAGTAGTGTAAATTTAGCTTCTAGAATACTTCTCCTTCATTTCCTAGAACACTGGTAGCTACTGGTTTTATAAAAATACTAATTGGATTCTAAAAAGAATAAAAAACATACAGGCTATTTTACTATTTTATTTTTTGTTGTATAAAATAGACAAAATAGTAGATATGGTCTTAATACATCATGAAAAATACATGCATCAGATTTTAAAATGTTACATAAACTTTAATAGTTTCTTATTTTCCCATTACCATTTTTACTTATAAATATTCATCAAAAAACTCTCCATTGCTGAATATTCACAAAAGCATATCTAAATAAATCACCAAATGGTACAGCAGCATTAATATGTTAAAATTAAAGAAACAGTTAACTATCCATTTTAACAACCTAAAAATATTTCAACAATTCTCAGGCAAAGTAATTCGTAGCGTTCTAGTACAATTCTCTGTATTCTAGTACAGCATTGGTAAAATAATCTGCAAATTTATTTCAGATATGGATGAAGCTGTCTGGTCTTAGCTTTTCTTGAAAGCCCAATCCTGATAGGGCCGTTGCATGTTTTAAGAGGGTGAACTCGTACAATTTCATGTGGCAAATAATATCCTGAATATATATTTAAGAGAGAGAGAGAGAGAGAGAGAAGTATATAAACAACACAAGCAAAAAATGCATATCTAAATCACATTCCTTCAAGACACAGAAATCAACCATGGATATTTTACTGGATATTTAACAGTTAGATATTTTAGAAATGGAACTAGATCCACAAAAGGACTTAGAAGTCACAGTACTGAGAGCTAAGAGATTCTACCTACCAGAGTTTACAGCCCTAAGGCAGGTGCATAAAGTCCCTATGCTATGCCAGGGGAAATTCAGACACTTAAGAATAATAAGTCAGAATGCAGAGTGGGGGACCACCTAAACTGGCAAGCAGGATATGCCAGAGAGAGGGGATTGTTTTAAACTCCACTCTTGTCAAGGATTTAGGTACCTAACTTTAGATTATGCAGAGATGCCTGACTCCACTTGGGATTAATAGCCATAAACCCTCTCTTGAAGTCAAAATACTAAATCCTTTTCCAAAAATATATGGGGATTCAGGATAGCACCCTCTTTTTGTCCAATCTAGTGGTTAGAGTACTCACTGTATATTGGGTGTCTGTATATATGTTCTGTACTCCATCAGCAGAGGGTGCTACCTGACCTGCATTATCTTCTGTTACTGTTTGCTGTTCTAATTAGTGTTAATGGTAGTTAGTTTTTAGTAATAAAGATGGTTCCCTTGTTCTTCCCTGCATGATCTCGCTGGGGCAAGAATCCCACAGATACACAATACTGGCAAAGAGGACAGGATCCCAGTGAGTAGGATGCTTCCATCAAGACAACAAAGGGAAAAACTTTCAGTGATCCATGCTGCAAATAAACAGGGCCTGGGGCTCTTTTCCTCCCATGAGGTGGCCTGTGCAGTTGCTCCTTAGCATGGCTACATTAGGCTACACTGAAGAATTTTATATTTCCAGTCCATCCATCTGGGACTCTTATGCTGACCAGCTATATTTCTATCTGGAAGCCAGTAAGATTACTGATGATAATCAGAAAAATGCAGCATCTCTTGAAGACTTTTCAGATTATTTGCTCACTTGTTTCCCCCATCTACCCCCATAACAAGTCCTACCATGAGATCCTTCAATTGCTTTTTTAAAAATCACTTTGCACCAACCCTGTCCAAAACCATTCACCAGTTTCATTTCAACCAATGAAATCTGCTGCCAGGTGACAGAATTGCTGCATAAGTAACAGACTTGGGTTGACTGTCTAAGAACTTTAATTGTGGTCTGGAGTCTACCCCTACAACACAAACTTCTTGCAAGGCATAACTTTACAATTACCATGGCTCAAGAAAAAGCCCTTGCATATGAAGCTGCCTCACTCCATTCAAGGGAAATCTGAACATCATCAGCAAACCTGATGTCAGCTGAGATATACCAAGTGCATTCAAGGGAGAAATGTTCAAGCAAGTAACTCTGTACACTGTTACATGTTGGAGTTCTGCAAAACTACTAATGAACCACCAACTAAAAACTTGTTTGGATCAGCTCCATCCAGATATGGTGCTGAATACCAGCCATGGCAAGAAATCCAGTTCTCCAAGAAACAGGATGTTTCACCTCTAAGCACCTGTGAACCAGATGAACTTGTGTATATCAGAAATTATATGACACTGGCTCTGCAACTCCAAGGGTAGATGCAGGCATCCACTGTAACCCAGTCATGTAAGATCCAGACTCCAAACTGAAAGACACTGTGCAGGCACATTGATCAGATGTAGCATCAAGTCCCAGATGATGTGACCTGTGTAGTACCAGAAAGTGTTGCACTGCTACTGGAACCTGTTCTGAAGAGTCCATCAGCTACTATTTTAGACGCATCAAGATTCCAGTGGCTGGAGCTACTCTAGAACAGCTAAAGGAGCCTATAGCAGTTACCACTGTTACCCCTGAAGTGGGCCGCATAAGATGGGTCACTGTCTGACCCAAATACTTCTAGGACTATGTTACCTAGGGAGGACAGATATTGTGTATTGGGTGTCTTTATGTATATGTTCTGTACTCCATCAGCAGAGGGCACTGCCCAAACTGCATTATCTTGTGTTGCTGTTTGCTGTTTAGATTAGTGTTAAGGGTAGTTAGTTGTGTTAATAAGCATGGTTGCCTTGTTCTTTCCTGCATGATCTCTGCAGGACAACAGTCCCATAGGTATACAATAGTACTCACAAAGGCTATAAGGCAACTGCCTGAAGGGAGATGAGCCCATATTTCCTACTTTCCAAGTGAATACTTTACACATGGGGTATATAGTATCTGGATGAGGTTTTCTCAGTCTAACTGTTTCACTTTCTATTAAGTTATGAAAAACT